TAGTATATACGGTATAATTGGTGTTTTGTCAAGATAGTATCGGATATATTTAGTTTTTTCTGTATTTCTTGCCGGCAGATTGATCCATTATTTGTCCATAGTTTCTACTCATGTCATTACCGGTAATGGCCGCTGACTGACTTTTAACAGCCACGGTCTGATWGTAACGTGAAATGCATCTTGATAGTATGGTAACAATTCGATCAGTAAAATTTGGAGTCACTTAGCTACATGTTTTAGAGTTATTGAGTTTTTATCCCTAATGAAAGGCGGCGCATTTAACCTTAACCCCTACCCCCCACCGCCAAGGATTTGTCTCAACTCCAGAATCACTTCATGTAACGTGTTCAAAATGCTTCTCCCGATCTTCCCATGAGTCCTGGGGGTTCATAGGAAAAGAAATAATCTAAAAAATGGGGGTTGATCCTAGTTTAATTCCARCGCTAATAGATGACATATTGTGGAAGAGCAAGAGCGAGTATTCCAGCATTCACAATCCAAAGATGCTGTGCGACTTCCTAAAACCATTTTTACCAATCGTGTAACCATTAAAAATACCTCGATAAAAAGAGCGATGTTTATATTTTCTAGAACCCCTTCCCCCTGAGGTTTTTCCCTTCGTAATCCTTCTTGAGGCTTAGACCATCCTGCCCCTCACAGCGCTCTGAGTGATGGAGAGTTYCCAATCCCAGTTTTATAACCAAATCCCGCGAGCTTAACTAGATCGGGTCGTATGTGGAAAATCCACTTCTGCATGACTTCTGCGCAACGTAGATGAGCTCGAGCCAGAACTCCATCATGTCCTTATTTTGTTTCTATCTTGTTGTAATGAGATTCAATGGATTATATTCTCATCTGATATTATAACTCGGAATTCTACTTTTTATCCCACCTCGTTTTCAGGACTTTTTATACCTCTTGGTAATGAAAGATTACTCTCAAATCAAATCAACCAGCACGCTGTACGCTAATGACTGTAATTAATACAAGATGATAGACGCGTGGAATCGTTTATCAGTCCGGTATGCGATAACGGCCCTGCACGCCTGTAAATGTATCTTTTGACGCTATTAGCGAAACATCTCTCATTAATGCTTGCTCCCTACACTAGACTCCCAGTCTTTCTGTTGAATTTGAACAGTAAAGAGCCATTATTTATTTTCGGTGTGATTGCTTGCACTTACCAGCTTTTTGGAAATGGCATCGTAATTTTTCAAATTCTGTCTTTTCCGACTTTTCCTGTTATTTCGTTTGTTTCTTCATTGTTTTTTGTTTTTGTTTTATTTGTTTGAGTGGTCTTCGCCTCTTTTGTTTTGTTCTTGTCTTGTTTTCCATGATGTGTTTGTTTTCTTTTAGTTTGTATAATTTGTTCATCACATTATCGGCTTTTTTGCTTCTGTCTTGCATTTTCTTTTGTAGCCCTTTTTATCCAGCATTATATTCTTAATGTCAGGTTGCTAATGAAGAATTACTCTACACTGCCTTGAATGTTTGATAAGTCAGTATTCCCTCTACTCACCTTAACTCTTCAATCAATATTGTCACTGATGCGGTCATGCGGCCCGTATTTGATGTGATTGTAAAGTCTTAAAGATATCCCTTTTCKTGAAAGGAAGATTAATAGTTGATTGCTGTTACTCAAGCTAATGTGTTTTCAAACGATTACATGAGCATCRCGCATGCTCACGATAAAATCCTTACGATAATTTTGTCTAGACATTSTAATCAGTCCTCGTGAATCAAAATGCATCTCGTCGCCTGCTGTTTTCCCTCCGTTCCTCCTTAAACACTAAGCAGGATATTATAAAAATGCATGCTATTATGTTTATATATTTTATATATTATTTTTTAATTCATATTCAAAAATGTTTTCTTTTTCCCGTAGTTCGTTTTGCAGTTTTTATTTAGTTTTCTATGTTTTTTTGTTGCCTGTCATTTTCCCCTCTTCAAGGGTCTATCTTGCCTGACTGTATTTGTCGTGTATTTGCGTGTGAAGGTATTTCAAATGTTTGATTTGAGTATGATAGTAACTATAGTTTCCAAGTGATCTTGTGATGTCATAGTGTTTATTATGTCTTATCTGTTCATGACGTTCTCAAGGAGTTAGACCTTGTTGATCAAAACTGCGCTTGGTGACGATTATTTTAACGCTACTGGCCGAATTTATGACGGTCATGGCCGAATTTTAACAGTTTTGAAGTTTTTGTGATCCTTCTTGTTGATTTTACCCTATGTTCCAAAGATTGCCGCTTTGCATGATCTCTCCGCTCGGGTTTCGTTTCTTCGTTCTGAGGTTTTCGTTCGTATTTTTGTTCTGCTATCGCACTTCTTGTCTACAATTTTTGTTTGGTTTTGGTAACCCCAAGGACATCCATAATCTCTTGGTACGGATCACCAAGAACGTGTTTACGTTTGTCATTTACACTAAATGAGAAATATTGTTATTGTGAATTTTTTCATCAAAAGTCCTCAAAGGCGTGGTCAAATTTGTTTACTTTTGAAAGTGAACTATTTTCGAAATGTCGAAAAGTTGTCTTTTTGAAAAAGGCGCGTGCGGTTTTGGTATGYCTTTTCGGACCTCGGGTCATTCTATTTTTTCCACCTTAAAATCCTTTTCGAGCCAGAATACTACACTCATATTTTATCTGTCAACCTTATCATTTGACCTGTATATTGTTTTACCGACACAAAGAGCAAAAKCACCAATCGTTGTAGTTTTACGCAAACCAAATTGTGTTTTTATGAAAATTTCTTCCTTTTGCAGTGGCTGTTGTATTTCTTGACGATTTAAATGTGCTAAAGCAATAAGGAGATGTGATTTGRCTATCATGAAGCTTTGAATTTGAAAATTAACCTCAAGTTAAGGATAAATAGTGAACAGAAGAACGAAGAAAACCYTTCGCTTGCTAGACATCCGTTTTCGGTCTGTCATAAAAAGCTCCATGTCAGATAGTTGGCTCGAACTTTCAACGACTAATGCAACTTCCACCTACTCCCCCATAAACTGTTATAGTACCTTAGATCGAAATCAGGGCTTACGATATTTCATACAATTTGTTTGGCAAATTGAAAGGATCTGTCCATGCATACAATACGATATAATRGGTGAACCACAGTTTAATGTGGTTGGCAATTATCTAGATATCAAATGGTTCCTTGACCTTTGTGACGCCCAGTCAAAGCGTCACAACACGTCCAAAAGGTTGTCATTAATGTTCAGTTGAAGAAAACTGTTGCATGTTGAACCATCGCTGTTTCTTAGTATTACTATTATCGTCGTGAACAAGCCGTTTATTCTCCTACAAACACTAAGGACGCTTTKCTACCTAAGAGCTATCATTGTTCGCTTCTACTAACATGAGTACTACAACTGAACCTACTCCTCAACAGAAACGCTCAGGTAGATTTGATCATCGATACAGCGCTAGAATCAACGTTGAGCTTTAGATAGCTTATAGACTTCTAGGTTTAACATGTTTTATTCAAATTTGCAGGCCTAAGAGGAAAGCTGTTTGGTGGGGTGAAAGTGAGACGTGCTCGATCGTTTTCTGGACAAGAAAAACATAAGCCAAGTAGCCCTTCAAAGCATAAAGACGGTATTGTTGAAAAAAATCTTTTTTTTGCTRATATATTTTAATAACAGTGTCATATTTTACAAAACCCTCCATTGCATGTAATTACACAAATCCATGTTTTGTTAATCTTGTTTTGCTGTAGTCGACTTATAATTTAATTRAAGTTAAGACATTTTAAAATTTATATCTCCCAAGGTTCCAAATTCCTGCTGATTTGTTCTTAGCGCTATCCCGGTTACAAATAGTTTTTTTTACTATGATTATACGATTTTGATTGCTCTGGAATCGTTTCGCTAGTAACAATTTGTCGGAATTTGTTTATGGTATTCACGAGGTATTAATGCGGATAATCACTGGGTTCTTTTAAAAACAATAGACTAGTAATACGCGTACAGTATGTACAAACACTGAATGCTCTGTACAGATTGTTCCATCTTCTGTTATGCACTCCAGGAAATCTTTAACTCACTCTAGAATAGAATTCTTGATACCGCATTGAGCAATTTCTGAGATCCGCTTTAGTGTGGTCAAAAACAGCAAAACAACACACACGCACCACAAACTATAAACAGCATTCTGGATTTTTTCCTTTTGTTTTGACGTTTGGAAATATTGGAATGGATTTATTTGGATTACGGAGTTTCCTGACTTGTCCTCCCGGGATTATTAGACGAACGGTTCTCGTTTAGTTGGCTACTTAACCTTGCATTGTTCTTGAGACTTCRAGTGATTTTGTTTTGCGTAACATTTGATTGGAATAAATTGGATAAAATGGCCCACACTTTATTATCAATTTACAGAAGATTATTTTCAGTTTTTTCATTATTTTTTTTTGGAAGTATTCATTTTAATATCATTCATCTTGTTATAATGATATTATTAATCAAAAAATATTCATTGTTCATAGATAAGAATAATTTAATTGGGAAATGTCTGGATTGCTTTATATGGGGGTGAATTATCGTGACTTGGTAACCATGATGGCAATAACAACCAGTTTGTGATTAAGTATGTATTAGTATTTTACACCTGCCCCGTTGAGCTCAATTAACGTGGAGAATTTGTGCCAATTTGGTAGCGTTCGCGGTGATTTCGATGGTCTTCGTCCAAAGGACTAGGATGCAACCGCGTTCGTGTAAACAGCAATTTGATTTCTTGGCGGGTTATTGTTCAACCACCGGGGCTTGTTGACCACCCGACTCCTATGTCAATAGTTGCGACTAGAGTGCTGACAGCGCCGGGTCTAGAGAAAACACTACATCGATAAGGAATCCATTTGAGTGTCAGGTCAAACGATGGGATCTTGACGTTCCAAACGACAGCACTCGAACGGCTTTCTCACGGAAATGAGTCACCAAGATTATGAAACTTTTTTGGTTCGATTCACCCAACGACAAAAGTGTAAGTTGCATTGAAGTTATTTTCTCAAGTTTTTGAGTGATTTACCTGCTGTAGTTGGTAGATTTTTTCCAACTTTGTTTTGATATCCTGAACTGACATCGTTTCCCTCAATACTTCTTTGAAGTCATGTATATTGCCGAATTTATTGACTAATTGTCGAAAATTCGTAAAAACAACTACTTCCAATCTTATCATGGAGCGGAAATACGGACGTCATATTCAAAGGCMAAAAGCGTCGTCGTGTTGTCGTGATTCAGGACAAAATACAAACTTTTCTCGCTTTTCAAATGGATGATTAGATAACCCAATATTTTGACCATTGTTATTACTTTTGTGTCCGTCAAATGTCTTTACTTTAAGCGTCCATTCAACCACAAGGGATATTACTAACCCTTCCCTTCCGTTCTATCGGTTTGTCCGTGACTAGACTAGCAATTTTCTGCTCAGAGCCAGAGAGTCAAGTTGTCTTTATCGCGTAACAGTTGTGTCGAGTGTTTCAAAGGAGATAGGATAGGAAATGGTYTTTGCCGCTGTTCAAGGTTAGAGTTGCTTCATTAATATTCCGAGTTGAGGTATTTTTGTTTTTAAAGTAAATTGCTGGCGGAAYTGAGCTGCGAATTTATCTCTAAGTTCTCTCAACACTTTTATTTTGTGCGTTAATTGGTTGTCAGTTCTTAGTCTGAGCGAAAGGCGCTTTTCACTTAAACACTCGCTTTGAAGTCTTCATAGATGGATTTATATTTGCATTTTGCTTGTATTTTTAGATTCGCAGCATACAAATGTTATGCAACTATCATGGAGCAAAATAAASAAATTTACATCCATTTTTTCTTTCGGAAATAAAARAATWGATGACACAATAATATTMTTCGTTRTTTTTGCGTTTTATTCGTTTTGCCACGGTAAATAATACGCAAAACAATAGAACATTCAACCCTTACATTCTTTACGAATAATGTCGAGTATAAACAAACTATAAATCCATGTGAAACCTCGTGAAAAATGTAAACACTATCAAACTGCTAACGAGGGAAAGTATTTAGTAAGTGTGAAGAAGCTGAAATATTGCTAAATGACGTGCTTTATTTTTATTTTCCTGGCTTTTATACCAAGAACAAAGTATAACAATGGTCAAATTAGCGGTATTTAGGTTTTGTTTTCTACTGCAAAAACAACGTCGCACTCAAAATTCTTGTCGCATTTTCAAGRCTTTATAAAGCCAATTTAATAGATACCCTAATTGGCAACTGCCAAACTTCCGGATATTAACAGTCTTTCGGGACACGTTTATCAATAAAGCTTTTAGATTTTATCAATTTTATCTAGAAATTAATTGTTTTTGCACGTGGAAAACTGCAAGTTTTCGACTTTGTTTCCATATCAACTTCATTCTGTRCTAAAAATGTGTTGCATGATGTGAGATTCAAATGAATGTCCTCCAAAATGTAGAGCTGAAAAACAATCTTGAATCTTGTTTAACTAGAGTTGTACAATAAAGAAATACATGTACATCAGATGTCTAGGATGTTTTTATTACGTTTAATGAATGAATGGCCATTCCTCGTGGCCTGAATTAGTATTGCTTATATTCTCTCTATTTAGTGAAATATTAGACAAATTGAATTTATTAAAGTGATTAAAATTAYCATTTGTTGTAGTAAATAACTGCTTTTAACCCATGCCATATCTAATGTTACTGGTTTACAAGCCCATTCTTTATATTAAATCTCACATGTGCCAAATTAAAACGGCATTTCTTTCTCTTGTTAGCATTAATTTGCATTAGTTTGGCCACATGCTAGATTTWGCATATGAAAAACAAGCTCTTATGATAATAAACTATAACCATTTTTCAAGATGGGTATTTTTACTTTGTTTTCTTTGATAACTAAATTTGTATTCATGAGMGCTGACAACCTTGTTTAATTATAAAGACATGATAAAATGAAAAAATAAAGAAAAATTTGAAATTAAGAGAAAAAATAGTACACAAAAGCGTATCATGCAGGTTGAAGGAAACCACTCTTTACAAAATGAAATACAGAATGAGCAAATAAAGATAAGAATGAAAAATAGAGATACCAGCCTAAGGCAAAAAGGAAACTCTGTATYTATTACATGTATGGAATTATCATTTTTACAATATCAATAAGAAATTGTTGTTTTTATCAGTATTACTGTGATATTTTGTTTGTTTTTTTTTCTCAATATTATACAATATTATATGTCTATGTTAGAATTTATATCTCACATCTAAAATATTATTTCTTAAACTGACAATAAGTTCATTTATCATAGGGCAAATTCCACATGTGTCCAATTCAATACAAATTACTCCCTATAAATCTCTTGTTTCTGGACATTATATGAATCTAGATCTCCTTCGCATTGATTTAGYACATGTGAGATTTGGCATATTGAAACAAGCTGCTATTGTGAAGTTTTGCAATTGATACTTTTTGGCTAGTTTGTATACGTATAAGGACAAAAACCCCATAAGTCAGTCTAGCTCATGAATTAATGAATTTTCATTATGGTGATCAGCATAGACTCAAACAAGGCTATCCTTGCTATGAGATAAAGCATGCAATCTAGTTACCTTGGCAAAACCTTACACATCAGTAGTATGTGAAATTCTACTCAAGTTTATGATGTCAATGTCTTTAATTAAACACCAAAGATTCTTGCTTTAGTAGTTATTCATTTTAAATTACAAAATRATGTTTTCAAAAAGTGTCAATTTGATTTTGTTTTGACTATGTGACTAAACTAGTGATGTTAATCATTTGACATTGTCTGCCACACTTRAAAATGTCTCTTTTTATCATTCGAAAGTGTCAACATATATCAACCTGATATCAGTATTATTATTAAGTGTTACCATGATTTTAAAGTGTGGGCAGTATACAGCAATCATTAATTATTATCATATTCTGGGGGTATTTTTAATTGCATTTTTACTAGTAATTTTAGGTCCACTATGGTTTAAACATAATTTCTAAATCTTTCCTATTTATTCTGACTTAAAACCATGTTTCTTTTATTATTTATTTATTAAAAACCATGATTCTCATAAGAATACTGTTTAGCTGATGTTTCTTGAATAATTTATTATAATGATAGACTCTTTTATTCTAGAACATACTAATAAGTTCAAAATTTATAAATTAATGAATTGAAAATAATAAATTGAAAAATATTAGTAGGAAAAAATTRATACTAATTTCAAAATTATGGAGAAACTGCAAACACCATCTGAATTTTTATTTTTTTAGAGTATGCTTAAWATTATTAGAATTTMTTAATAATATCATCATATATGATGATTATTCATAATTTACAAAAAAAAATTAATATTATCATTATCATAATACAATCAGAATAAACAATAATAAATTTGAATGCCTTTGCTGTTATCTAAAATTTCAAAAATTGTTATATACATGTAAGATTTATCCCCAAACAATAATATTTTATAAATAAAGTGTATTTATTGAGATATAGTATTTGTGTCAAATATTTTTGTTTTTCTATATAACAGAAGCCTTATTATGTCGTTCATTTTTCCAAATTGATCTTTTAATCCAAGAGAAAATACCCTTATTACATAGTATTATGAGAAATTCTCTTTTTTATTCATAAAAATATCTTGCAGGGCTTGAATAAAACTCTTTTATTCTAAATTCATATTTTTCCTATTTTTGAAGCAATTATTTAATGATGTTCATTGTGATTYGTTGTTTTGGTCAATTCTCATCTGTTTTGGCAGCAGCTGTGTTTTGATCCATTTATCTAGAAAATTCACATTGGCATTACATTATTTCTGAGTTTTAATCTTCCCATATGAGCTGAATTATTTACATCGCTTTTCTGGAAAAACCTGAAACATTCAAACATATTCTGTCAGAAGATTTTACCAGCCTTTTTTTGATCAAAGTTGCTGTAGTATACCCTTTTGGCATGCGTTCTTCTAGTCCAAGAACGAGGAGAATCTATGAGGAAATTGTCAGATATGGTTCAGGTCATGTATATAGAAGTGTAAAAGAAGAATTTGAAGGTATACTAACTATAGCTAAGCAATATTTAGTAGCTATATAAGAGATTGATTGCACACCAATAATRTGTATTCATTTTCTTGCTTTTTGAAGTGGAATTTATGCAGTGAACTTTCATCGTTTACAGATGATAGCCTTTGTGGTTTTGTCATTTTGTTAAGAAATACAATGTCTTAAAAGACTGTAATTATTGTTAGTAATAGAAATCGAAATCCAATATGTACTTAGAATTGAAAGACTCCAGGATGACAAACTGTTTGAATCGACTTCACTAGCTTCAAGGTGTCAGATATGTTAATTTTGTACAGAAAACACATCAATAATATTGTTTTGTTTGTCTTTTTATATGTACATGGCTTTATATTAGTTTGCTCATTTTTATCAGCCAAAACCGAAGTTTATAATCAATACWTATATAAAGTGAGCAGATAAGAGCAAAAAAGTAATGTTTAGATGTTTAAAAACATGGATTTTGGCTAGGTGTTTTTATTTTTTCTATCAGTGGTGAAAAACACACTTCACTTTAAGTGAAAAGAGTGCAGCTTAAATCACGCACAGCCTTCATGAAGTTTTCTCTTTTGTTTTTTTACTCTAATATATCAGTTGTTTTAATGCCAAAAAATCTTCGAGATTGAACAAAAATGGCAACTGTTTTATATAATAAGTAGTGTACATGTGTAAAAATGGCATGAACTATGAATGTCAAAAAAATTAATAAAAAAATTATAACACATTTTGCCGCATTCAAGGTTTTTTGTCTTCCCTAATATGTACAATATTTTGATTTCAAAATGCTTTATGGTTGAATTTCAGCTACCAAATATTGAATATTACAGTATTTAAAAAACTCAAATCTGTCATTTCTAGTATAACATGTAATGAAGATTTTGATGGTCTACCATCCTATTAACTCCTAATCTATGTGGTTTTTGCTTTTGTTAGCAAACTCCATCAAAGA